CCAGGCACCCCTGTTTATCATTTTAGTAATAAATAGCTGTGCTTAATAGATGTCCAGCAGTGGGCTAAGTGTTTTACACGTTGTTTTCTTAATCTTCACAACAACCCTCAGAAGCAGGAAATACCATCTATATCTTACAGATGAGGAAACTAAGGCATTTGCCCAAGGTTACATGTTAGGAACTAGCAGACCCAGGATTTGGGCTCTGGCTTTGACAATAAACTCATTCTGAAGACATTAATAGTTAAAGGACGTGCAAGTTCTTTAATTAATTTTACAAACTGTCACCTCTGCCTTCCACTGTATTGCTTTAAATACAAAGGATATATAGTGCTTTGTAAACATTGTGAGCTTTCTTAGAAGAACTGGTAGACAGTATATTAAATATGGCCACAGATTCCCAAGTGAATGGATGAATGTAGGAAATGTTTTTATTTCCAAAGGATAAGGGAAAGTTATCTCCACCCCGACACTGAGTTGGTGTATCTCTTGACTTCCTAGGGGGTCTGAAGCCTGCACCTTTTTTATCTCCCACACCCCTACCCCTCCACTACCTCAACTTCCATTTGGAGAGAGAAGTGGAGACTAGTGCATAACTGGTACTCAGAAAAGTTATGACCCGAAGAGAAATTGGGAAAGGAGAAAAGGATATCTAGCTCAGAGGGTGCCCCTAGCTGCCAGTTCTAGGCAGCCCTGTCCAGATCAGAGCCAAATGGAGGCCGGGATGGCAGCCAGCAGATACCAGGGGGTGGGGTGGGAAGCTCCAGGACCCCATGAATCCTATGGGGTGCACGATCCAAACAGTCTTTCCTGGAAGCACTTTCAGCTGCTCAGTGACTTCCCTGATAAGAGTAGCTTCTTCTGGCAGTCCCAGGGGGCAGGCCGTGCACAGACATGGATCTCCTCCCTGTATCCGTAGCACAAGGAACACAGAGCTTCAGGGGCAGGTGGAGTATGGGCAGATTCAGGGCACAAGAGAGGCCCTCTGTGGAGAGGGAATTAAAGCCTTGCTTGAGGTTTTCTGTAGGAAAGTAGCAAGTGGTGGTGAAAACAGCATTGAGACAGGAATGGGTAGAGGTTGCTAAGAGTTTAGATCCCTGTCCTGCTACTCTATGGGCAAGACAATTGTAGGGGCCTGGGGCACCTGCGTGACTTGGTCGGTTAAGCATCCAACTCTTGATCTCAGCCCAGGTCTTGATCTCGGGGTCCTGAGATCCAGCCCTGTGCTAGGCTCCATGCTGGGTGTGGTAACTACTTAAAAAAAAAAAAAAAAAAAAAAAGAGCAGGGCCCTAAGGCTATAGGACTTAAGAGAGCTGCAGTGGAGTGCAAGGTTAAATCCTGGGTCCCATTACTCGCTGTGAGGACTTAGATAAGCTGCTTGACTTCCCCTTACCTTGGTTTCCTTGTTTGTAAAATGAGGTAAGCTAGCACTTCCCTGTGTTGTGAGGATTCAATGAGATACCTAGTGTAAAGCTTAGCACAGTTCCTGGTGTGTAGGAAGTGATCCAGAAATCTAATCAGTTACAGTTACTGGGCTACTGCCCCATCTCTCCTCTTTTTACAGAGGAGACACCTTTCTTCCCAGCCTCAGTATTCTCAGCTGTTAGATGGGGAACAGGTTTGCCTGTGATCCAGGTGCAGCTACCAAGTAGTGCGCTCCTTTGTGTCATCCATTGCAGAGTGACTTCTGTGTATTCTCACTTAATCCAATGAGATAGGTACCATTATTTTCCCATTTTGCAGACAGAGAAACTGAAGATTAGATACACTTCTGTGTATTCTCACTTAATCCAGTGAGATAGGTACCATTATTTTCCCATTTTGCAGACAGAGAAACTGAAGATTAGGAATAAACAACTTTTCCTAACATCACAGAGCTGGTGAGAAGCTAGGCCTCTCTGCCTCAACAGCCTCATCATCATCTTCACGTTCCAATCATGTTTAGTGGTAAGTGATCCAGAATAGTAGAGGGGCAGTTTCTGGAATCCAGATGTCATTATAGCAAAAGGCTGTGAATGTGAACATAAGATTGGCTTTTTAACATGCAGCTAATTCCCTTCAAGGTGAGCAGTTAGGCGGGTGCTCATAAGTGAGACACAAGGAGCTTTATTGTGGCACAGGGCCAGGGAGGAGGCAGGGAAAAAAAGGACAGACATTTGTCCAACACCCCACAAACTGGCTTCACCTACATCAAGCCTGATTTGCTCGAAGCCCTGTGGAATTGATACTAGTATCCCTATTTTATAAACGGATGAAATAGGCTCAGAGAGGTCATGTGACTTCTTAAAAGTCACTCTGAATCAAACACTTTAATTTTCCCCCCAGTTAACTGGCAGGAAGCTGTTTCTGGGGGTGGTGTCCTCTGATCACTGAGATCTGTTGCAGCCTCCTGCCCAAAGCAGGATCTAACTGAGCCCAGAGGAGGAGCCTCAGATTGTAGTAGTCAAGCACAGGGAAGGTGGTAATGGGAGGGCCCCAGCTATGGGACTGTGGGAGGCAGGTTGTCTGAGGCCCAAGTGCCAGCTCAGGTCGGGGGGTGGGGGTGGTAAGCCTGGAAAGAGTGCACAGCTGGGAGTCATTCACACTGTAGCCTGCATCCTTGCCCCTCCCCCCAGCGGCGCTCTGGACGGGAGGGATCCTAGCCTCAGCACGCAAGCACAGCCCACCCAACTGCTGTTCTTGGGCCCAACTCTGGCTCCTTTTGCGGCAAAGTGGAAGCTGCCAATCTTACCCAGGCCCACGCCTTTCAGGTTCCCATTTGGGGCTCCCAGGAAGACTAGTGCAGGGGGTCACCAACCCGGTGTGTTTTGGTTGGGAGCGCGCTGCCCTGATTGCCTGCATAGCGCGCACAGACACACGTTCGCGGAAAGGTTGATGGAATGGAGGGTGCTGGGGGTGAAAGAGCGAGTGGGGCTGATTTTTTTATTTTATTTTATTTATTTATTTGAGAGAGAGAGAGAGTGAGAGAGCATGAGAGGAGAGAGGGTCAGAGGAAGAAGCAGACTCCCCGCTGAGCAGGGAGCCAGATGTGGGACTCGATTCCAGGACTCCGGGATCATGACCTTCGGCAGTTGCTTAACCAACTGAGCCACCCAGGCACCCGAGTAGGGGTGATTTTTGAAGACTGATGGAACTGATGATGTCCAGCAAGGAAACCGAAATGGCGACTACCCAGGAGGTGGGCCGGAGTGCAAGACCAGCGGGAAGACAGCTTGGAGTGGAGCTTGCGGGGTGGAGGCGGAGCGGGAAGCGGCGCGGTGGGCGGACGCGGGGGAGGCGCGCGTAGGCTCGCAGGAGTCGAGCCAGGCAGGGCAGCCCAGAGAAGCCCCGCGCCGGCAGGCTCAGGCTGGCGGTGCAGCCCAGGGCTAACGCGGTGCGTTTCGGGGGAACCCCTCCCATCTTCCTCTCTCCTGCACCGGGCATCTCCACCACCGACTGGGTTCCTTCCGGGAAGGCTCTGCACCCCTTGATCCCTGCGCTGCTTTCTTGAGGGCGCCACTCCGCGCAGCCTGCCTCCAGGGGAAGCTCCCCAGAAAGCCCGGGTTCCCTGGGTTTTCCTCTCCCCAGCTGCACGTTCAGGGCTATGGCTCCTGCCGACAGAGGGCGACCCCGACCCAATGGGGTCGACCAGGACTTGGGATTGGGGGTTGAGCGTGTCGTGTCGCACGGGAGCTGTAGAGTCGAAGTACTGACACTGGGCCTGACTGGGTGCTTTCCTCGACCCAGGCGGGACACATTTCGAGGCCAAGCTGACACCCATTTGTTGACACCCGACGCTGCAATAACCGAGGTGCAATGCACGTGAATGACTGGCTGGATGGATGCTCCCTTGTGCCTTTTTCCTTTCTTCGGAAAATGGAATGGGGAGCAGCCACCAGTTTTAGATTAGAATTCTGGCCCCTCCACTTCCTAGTCGCGTGAGCCTGGCCAAGTCACCTTCTGTCTCGGCGCCACGGTCTCTCATCTTGTTGGCTTGCAGGGCCATTGTGAAGCATCTCGCACCCAGAAAATACCTTCTATGACTTCATAAAGTGTATTCTTCCGGAGGCCAGCTCGCAGGGGTTGGGAGGGGTGCAGCTTGCTGGTTTCTGTGTGCCACGTTCTAGACTGACCTTAGGGGCCTGGGAATGGGGTGGAAGAAACCTAAAATGGTGATGCACGCTTTTCCTCCCCACCTCAGTCGAGGGCCCCTTTCCTCCCTCCCTCCTTTCCAGCCCCAAACAGGCAGAGCCGGCAGTACTATTCTTCAGTTCCCAATGGGAGATTTTATTGGTAGACTCGTGAATTTGCCCGCCCATCCCTCCCGCTTAGATGATTGCACCATCTCCACCCTCACCTCACACCTCTGGCTCCCGTCCAAGGTCACGCCACCTGTGAGCAGAGACCTCGGTGTTAGGAGCTAAGAAGGCCGCCAGGGGGCGCTGCCACCCGGGGAGAGGGCTCAGGGACCAGGGCCCGCTAAAATCCTGCAGGTTGGGGATCTGGGTTTTGTGAAGGGGAAGCCTCCTTTTCAGCCGGACCCCCAAGCCCTTCATGCCTTCCTCTCTTGGGACCTCAGTTCCCTCATGGAAGGGTGGAGTATTTTGTTTTCTTTCTTGTTTTGCTAAGGAACTTTTTGTTCAGAGTAAATCTTATTTGAAGCATAAATAAATGAAACGTGGGGTGGTGATTTAGTCTAAGAGGGGATGGGATATGGCAGAGCTCTACTTGACTGCTCCCCCTTCCCCCAACATTTGGAAATCCCTGAACTCCCTTACTCAGACTCCTGACTGAGATTCTGAGCCATAGCAATTGTGGACCCTCCTGAGGCCTCCAGGCAGTGAGATGACCCACCTCAGAACCCCCACTTCCAGTGCCCCTCCCCAGAGCCCCTGTTTGGATCTTGAGAGGCCCCAGCCTAGCCACCACCCTGCTGTGTGGCCTCCACCAATGGTTTCCCCCTCTCTGGGCCTGAGGGAGGGGTCTCCCCCTAGCACTGCTAGCTAGCCACAGCCCCCAAGAGTCTGGATCCTGAGCCTCTGACTCGGGCCCAGTTCCAAGCCTGGCTTCTGCCTGTGTCTCACCCCGGCCGGGCGGTGGTGTTGTCATACTCTGTATGGATGGCACATAGGTAGCTCAAGTGATGCAGAGCAGAAGCGGGTACAGCAGCGCTTGACCCAGCGCAGGGCGGATGATCTGCACATCACCCGAGGCCCTGGGAGGTGGATTCGTGTGGGCAACCCCTCAAACCAGACCCACTGGTCAGCTGCTTCCATCTGCTTCTTGTCCCCCAGGGGAGTTCTGTGCTGGTAGGTCTTCAGGAAGACAATGCGGGGGTCCCCAGTGGGTGATTGCCTCCCCTGGGCTCCAGGGCAAGCGGTCAGGTCATGACCCTTTGATGTCCTTGGGAGCTCAGGCTCCACCTGCTCCTCGCTCTGGTGCGCTGCCACGGGCGGCTGGTGCGCCCTGTTCCCCCCCGCCAACCCCACCGGGGGCTCCCCTGGGCACTCTAATTCCGGTATCTTCCTGGGGCACCCAGCCTCTTGGAGCTCTTCGTTATCTTGTTCCACTCTATCGCAGACGCTGCTGCTCCTGGCACAGGGAGGGAAGGCAGTCAGCAGAGCAGGATGAGGGCCCTGGTCCCCCAGCCTCGCCCTGAGACTGCCGCTATGCAGCCAGCTCAGGGGGGAAAGCTGGAGAGCCCCGGAAAAGAAACTTCACCACCAGAGGCCTTGCGCCTGGAGGCAGGGGAGGTGATAATGGCCAGGGGAAGGAGTCGTCCTGGCTGGGGAGGCGAGCGGCAGTGGCCAGTGGTTAGGACACTGAGGACTAGATGTTGTCTGCGCGGGCCACTGGCCAGGGGTCCGCCTCTCTGGGTTTCAGCTGATGGGGTGAACTAGTCCAGTGTTTTCAAACTGTGCTCTGAGAAACCTTAAGGTTCTGAGGAGACCTCTCAAATGCGCTCCCCACCCTGGAGAGGGGCAGGGTGAGGCGGGATACCTTTCTGCCCAACGCAATTGGGGCCCGAGGAAGGATACTTGAAGAGAGGTTCTGCTGCCTTAAACAGGTTGGAAAGCTATGGGACCAGAGAGGCCTGGCCCTTCCAGCCCGGTGTTAACTGATTGCCTGCGCTTCCGAGGCGGCCAGCTCAGAGAAAGGAGCTCCGAGAGGGGGCGTTAGCCTTCTAGTGCTAGAAGGACACTTGCCCCAAGGGTGTGTGTAATAGATTGAATCTTCTGCAAAGCACAGCATTGTCCTAGCTGAGTGTGTGTGGAGCGGCACGAGGACCCAGGCTCCACGTAATGCCAGCACCGCTGATTATTACCACCGTTGAGGGTCTGCTGTGCATCAGGCCCGGGACCCTCACACCAGCCCCACAAAGTAGGAGGCAGTGAAGTGGCAGAGTGGCTTGGCGAGCACAGGTTTTCAAGACCGACAAACGGGGGTTCAAATTTGCTTGTGCCTCTTACCATCTGCCTGATTTGGGGCAAGTCATTTCACCGCTCAAAGCTTTAGTTTCGTCGTATGTAAAACTGGGGTAACTCTGTCTACCTAATAGGAATGCTGTGAAGAATTAACTAAACGGGAAATACTTGTGAAGTACTTAGCAGGTGCCTAATAAATGTCAACTTTCTTAATATTCTGACGTGATTTATGAGGAAGCCGAGTCTCAGCAAGATGACTGGTCTGCAGGTGAATCTCTGGGTTGTGTGGATTTGAGGGTGAGGAGGAGGAGTGGCACCTGGGTGGTGCCCCAGTTGGTGGTTAGTCCCATAACTGGATGATTGTGACCATGGTTAGGACCACAACTCTGATATCACGCAGGAATGGCTTTAAATCCTAGCTCTGCCACTTACCAGTCTTGTTAGCTGGGACAAGTCACTGCGTCTATTGAGCCTCGGCTTCCCACTAGTCAAATAGGGTAATCAATACCTTTGTCATAGAGCCTTTGTGAAAATTAGGTTTTCACAAAGTGAAACAGTGCCTGTTCGTAGTAAAGATAGTCATTGGGTCCGTGGTGGGGGCCAGGAGTGTGCCGAGCTCACCCAGTGGAGATCCCAAGGATCTTCGGAACTCGGAGCAGTGAATTCCAACACCTTTTGGCCAGGCTATGCAGTTCTTGGATCCGGGGGTTTGGGCTCTTGAGCAGCTTCAAGAGCGACAAGTTTTTTAATACCTGCCAGGGTCGAGAAACCAGGAAAACAGAAGCTTCAGCTTTCCTGGGGTAGCCTCCCACACCCCACCTCAACTTTGGCTCAACTCCATTCAGTGCTGGGCCTGGGGACTCCTGGGTCACTACAAGCCTGGCAACTAGGAAGGACCAAAATGGGGCATCTCACCATCTTAAGTCGGTTCCGCCTGATTACTTTGACAGGTTGTGGTATCTTGTCCTGTGGTTCTTCATCTTGTATCTGAGAGACAGAAGGAGAGAGTGCACTAACACAGGAGGAATCCCCCCAGACGCCTCCACTATGCTTCTCCATTTGGCTGACCATGGGTTTGACCACCCTTTGGGAGTTTTGTCACCTTGGTTTGGGGGCAGAAATGGGGAAACCATTCCAACTCTCCTGACCTCCCTTCACCCTTCACCTCTCCCTCCCCGCCCCACCCCAGGCTGGATGGCCCCTGCTCTGGGTGTGGTCCAACCCCCTCTGTGTCCACTCCCAAGTCCAACCTTGGAAACCATTCTATTCTTGGGCCTCTTCTTTGCTGATGGACTCATACTGGGGCTGTGAGACCTCAAGGACAGGTGGAGCAAGACTGGTACCAGGCACTGTCTGCTCCCTGCCCCTCTCAGTTCGGCCAGCACTCAGGCCGGCCATCAGGATGGCTGTGCTGGAGCTCCCAGGGAGGGGAGCTGTGACATCACTGAAATTTGTGACAGCAGCAGGGCTGGGTCTCCAAGGAATATGTGTGTGGCAGGGGTGGAGGGTGAGGAGGAAACTCCCCATCTGTGGAAAAACCTAGTAGGTACCAGACAGAGGCCTATATTGTCAACACCTCCCTGTGAGGTAAGAGAATTATCTCCTCTTTTTAAATAAAGAAGCCAAGGTTCAAAGAGGTTAAGTAGTTTACTCAAAGCCACACAGCTGGATAATGGTGGAGCTGGAAATTTAAGGTCTGACAGTGAACGCATGAAACCAGGCATTCCCAACTACACTCATCTGTTCATCTGTGTCATATGTTGACTGTGCACCTGCTACGTTTGTTATTCTAAGCACTGAAATAAAAGACAATTCTTACCTTCAAGGAACATACATTCTAGTGGAGGGAAAACAAAACAGTGTGTGTGCTTGTAAATGTTTAACATTTGGCTCTCTGAAACAAAATGTTCATCTATGTGTGTGTGTATTATAAATTGTACTGATAGAAATCTAAAATAATAAAATTCTACAGTACTCTTTGTTGTAAATTCCAAAGAGCCAGTTCATTCTTAAAGTATGTTTTTCTTGGATTTTGCCTAACTCATAACCATAACCAAACTGTGGTTGCAGTGGATGAACAAATGTTGACATTTTTACTTAACACTAAAGAGGAAGAAGAAAGTACAAAAGTGAAAGAATAAAAATGTTTGAATTTCACTCACTCATCAATGACATATCAAGTTATCTGCTGTATTGGATCAGAGTTTTCAAATACCAGAGGTGTATTTTCTCAAATTTTTTTCGTGGTGTGCTATTTACAATGTACTAGCTATAGACGGGACATATGTGTTTACATTTAATTGTATTTTTTTTTAAGATTTTATTTATTTATTTGAGAGAGCGAGAATGAGAGACAGAGAGCATGAGAGGGAGGAGGGTCAGAGGGAGAAGCAATCTCCCCGCTGAGCAGGGAGCCCGATGTGGGACTCGATCCCAGGACTCCAGGATCATGACCTGAGCCGAAGGCAGTCGCTTAACCAACTGAGCCACCCAGGCGCCCAAGACATGCTCACTTTAAAAGGGGTTAGTTTTTCCTCAGCTCAAGCTCATTATTGCCAGGTAGGAATGAGTTTTTATTTATTTATTTATTTATTTATTTATTTATTTATTTATTTATTTATTTATATTTATTTATTTTTTTATAAAGATTTTTTTTTAAATTTATTTATTTGAGAGAGAGAATGAGAGACAGCACGAGAGGGAAGAGGGTCAGAGGGAGAAGCAGACCCCCCGCCGAGCAGGGAGCCCGATGCGGGACTCGATCCCGGGACTCCAGGATCATGACCTGAGCTGAAGGCAGTCGCCCAACCAACTGAGCCACCCAGGTGCCCTACATTTAATTGTATTATTAACATCTCCTCCATTTGTCTCTTAAGGCTAGACCAGGGGTCAGCAAATTTCTTCTGTAAAGGGCAAGATAGTAAATATGTCAGGCTTTGCAGGCTGTATCGCTGCAGCTGCTGTGCTCTGCTGTTGTAGTGTGAAAGCAGCCGCGGATGCTAAGCAAATGAGTAGGCATGGCTGTGTTGCAATAAAACTTTATTTACAAAGATAGTGTTGGATTAGATTGGGCCCATGATCAAACCCTGGTGTAGACAGTCAACAAAATAATAAATCAAAAGCTGATTTATTACAAGTACCTGTGTCTCTGGGGCAAAAACTCCTAGCAGGGCTGATTTCAAGCTACCAGCGTGATGCCACTGAAGGCAGAGTTGAATGGAAGTGCACGGTAGCATACCGTTACAGCTACTATAGTTCTCCAGATGTGAAGACTCTCAAGAACATAGATAGTAGCAAAAGGTAGCAAACAATTGGAAAGTGATGAGTTTGAGCGTTTTTCACCTTTGTTTATAACATCATTAATTTGATTAAGTTTGTATAATTTGATTTTTAATGATCGCTATGCTTAACGACCAGTCAGCAGAGTTCGTAGAAGCATAATAGGCTTTTGCAAGCCCTTATGAGTCAGTTCCAGCACACCACTGTCATGTCAGAGGGAAATAAGTGTGGGGAGAAAAGTAAACAGGGCCGAGGGCCGAGGGAGAGCAAAGGTAGAAGGTTTGCTAGTATTAAAAAGGCTGGAATGGGCAGCATTCGCCAACCAGATGAGATTTGAGCAGGAACCTGAAGGAGGTGAGGGAAGGGCAGACTGGCGTGGCAGGAGATGGGGGCAGGGAGGGGGTGGTGGTGAAGTGTTGGGACAGACGAGGGCTGCTCGGAAGGATCTGCCTAGCTGGCCGCAGCAATGAGTGGAAGGGCCTGTGAAGAACAGCCTCCTGGCACCACCCCAGTCAGTCAGCCAGTCTGATACCCAACCGAGCGTGGGAACCGAACTCTCCACTGTACTGCCTCTAGGGCAGAGAGGTGTATGTGTGCAGGGGGTGCTTAGCTCTGCCTTTTAGGGGTGACACACCAAGCCGAGGCTACAGAACAGCTTTGTCCATGTCAATGTCCTTTATTATTAGGGTGAAGGGGGGAGGTTAACGTGCTGTACCCAGGGAAGAAACCTGGAGGTGACTCGAGAGGGAAGCTGTGGGGGACACTCCCTCTCCCTTCTGTCCAACCCACTACTTCTGGCTCCTCTTCCTGCTCAGGCACCACTCTTCTTGCCAGCACGATTTCAGCCCTTACCACCTGGACTCTGGTGGGCTGTATCAGGATCATCTACAACTGCCACTTAGCCCCTGGGTGCCAAGGGCCTGGGGACCCACCGTGTGCTACACACTCAGGATAGCCACATTATAGGCAGAGCATGACTCCTCTCAAGAAGTTCACAGGCCCGGGGGGGGAGGTACTACTAGAATATAGGCTCTTCAAGGGCAGAGAGTTTTGTCTGTTCTATTCATTGATAAACCCCCAGAGCCTGGTAGGTCACAATAAGTATTTTTTGAAAAAGTGAAGTAAACAGCATTATCAATGACAAAGGTAACCCTAGGGGCTGTTGGACTACAGAGGACCAGCCTGAGGAGGTCAGATAAGTCTTCGTAGACACTTAAATGTAATGAGGACTGAAGGAGTAGAAGTTGGCCAGGCAAAGGGTGTGAGGTAGGCAGGGCATTCTCAAAACAGGGAATTTTGAAAACATAGGTGTGGAAAAGAATTATGGACAGTTATATGTTGCTAGAGTAGAAAAGAGGGGCCAAGAGTGCCAGTGGCTGACCAGGGCTTTACCACCAGGATGCTTGGAGTTTGTCCTGAGGGCCCAGGGACCCCCTGAAAGGGCTCTGGCAGCCAAGGCAAGGTGGCTAGATTTCGTGCTGGGGGCCTGGCCCGACCGGCCCTGCCACTCTGCTCTAGTCCACGCTTTCCCCCTCATGTGGTCCCCTCCCTCGGAAGTGGTGTCTGTCTGAGCATTCCACCCCCACAGGGCAGGGAGTTCTCCATGCCCAGACTCTACCCCAGCAGAGACTCCCACAGCAATTTTCCATGTTCCATCTTGTTTGGTCCTTCCATCACAGGAAACCCATTGGTGGGGAGAGAGACTTATTCAATGACACACAGCCTTGTGGACCAACTCCAAGGCTCTTGAGTGGAAAACCACCACTCTTTTTCTCCTTAGTTGTGGTAAAAT